AAAAAAAAAATCTGCAAAAAAATAAAAGGTTTTCGAGATCCTTCCCCGCAAAGTACAATTTTTTTTATATTTTTACAAAAAAAATTAAAAAAATCGGTAATGATTGTTCGTTATTTTTGAATCTACAGGACCTAGCAAAAGTGTTGTACGCACAGTTTATAGAAAATTTTATTACCTTTTAAAAGCTTCAAACCGTTTTGGAATTGCTTAATTCGTTCTTGAGATATATATGATAAAGTGGACCCAATTTTTATTTTTTTTGCAAAAACGGTAAATTGGAAATATCTCAAAAACGGTACCATAGAATTAAAAATAACCTTGATTTTCGGAATCAGGGGGTGATTTTACATAAGAATTTCATAACGGCGTTTCTGGTAAAGAGAAAAAGTTGACATTTGTGGTCCAGTGTTATTAAAGGCATCCGCACATGCCTTTAAACCTTCCCCCATTGTGTTCATAGCTTCGGCCAACGATTTCGCTACCTGCACACTCGCCGTTTTTGTTTAGCTAACAACTGTTGAAAGAGCATACGAATGTAATACTATTTTTTTAGTATGTACAAAAAATTACCTTCAAAGCATCTGTTTGTCTACCTGCTATTTGTACATTCGCTGCACTCGACTCTGCTAGCATCTGTTGAAAAAGAACCGAAAAAATTATGTCATAAAATTTTACTTATGTAAAGTTACAAATATGCAAATTACTTTTAAGGCATTTGCTTGGGTCTGAGCAATTTCCAAAAATGTTTTTTGGGCCTCGGTACCACCGTCCACACGCCTTCTTTTTGCACCTCTACGAGGCGTTTTTCCTGCAGGAGTTACAGGAGTCGATGTGCACATCTCAATGCTCACTTCGTGGGAAATAGATGGCATCTCGATGATGACACTTTCATCACCCTCTTCTATACGAAGTTGGAGTTCCTAATGATGGGAAGAATTGTTAACTGCTGTGCTATTCATAACGATTTATTTGCTTTTTACCTCTTGCACTGGCACACTTTCAGCAACAGTTTCATTGCCCTGCACATAGTCGCTACCGACAAGGGCAATCACACGCCTCTCAAGCTCAGTGGGTGGGTCTTCATTAATGGGATTGTTTCCCGTCATGGCCTGCTTTCGTTTTCTATCACGCACCTTAATACTAGTACGGCTCTTCAAATCACTCCATACCTTTTTGCAAAACAAAATTTTAAACGTGGTATTAAATTACTAAACAACTTTTACATACTGTGCACCATTGGTCGACGTTCTTCACCAAACCACCAAGGCTATTCAGCATTGACGCTAGCTCACTCCACTTCTTGTCGCAGTCCGACTTGCCATGAAGCTTCTGGAACCTTGATCCTGCCAATCCCGGCTTTTCCGCCAAAAAGTCCACCATGCGACTTAGTTGTTCTGCTGTGGTCCGGCTTCTCTTTTGAACACTGGGTACTGACGAAGCCATTCTATAATATGCGAAAAAGGTTATGTCTAATAATACAAAATAAATAAACGTTTTATTTTACTTACTTTTTGTAAAAGTATATTAAAATATTCAGAAAACTATGTGTATACCACTTTGCAAGCAAGGAATTTATCTGTTTTTCGTCATTCTTCTTTGTGCTTTTCGAATTTTTTGACGTTTCGTTAAGCTGAGATGCCACCTTTCTTTTATTGAAATAAAAAGAAAATGTCAGCTGTTTAGTGTCGTTAAAAATGAGTTACCGACTAACACAATCGTTACTGCAAACCACAAAAATCGTTATATTAGACCTCGACAAATCGTATCGTTAAAAGTTAGTGAATTGCACTACTGTTCTGATATATGCGTCGACATTACAATATTCAAACGAAGTGAAAATAAATTGAATTGAAGTAAATGACAATTTTTTGTATGAATATCCAAAAATATTTTCTCTATGTATATATATGTATGTATGTATGTATTTCTTCGCACCTATTACAATACGAACAAATTTGTTTGTAAAACAAACTTTAACCGAAATGATTTCGAATGATTTGAATATTTTTCATTCACTCATTCGCATTCTTCCATTTGAAAATAGAAAATGTAAAACAAAATTTATACATATTCATAACTTACAAAATTCCAAACGCTGAGTGTTTTGTAAGTGAAGTAAAATATTCAAATCTACTGTACTCTGCTTGGCTAGTAGTTTGAATGAATGCATGCAGCCCTCTACTTTACGTTATTTTTAAAAAACACTTACTGAAATGCTTGCTAGGTACTCAGTTTTAACGTAATACACTAAAAACTGAATTTTTGACCATTTTTTTTTGTAACACAGTAAAAGTAGTTTTCCCGTTCAACAGTTTTACCTCAAAATTGTTCTGAATTTAGCGCCCTCTACTGTTAACAAAAAGAAGAGTTGGTAAATTAAACTTAAAAATCTATTAAAGGTAATATGTTAGCTTTACAAAAATGTATATTAAGTACATAAATATTGTAAGCACTTTATCTTATTTTAATTTTGCCAATGGGATAAAGCACTGTGAAACAGTTTCACATAACATACGACTTGAGCAAATATGGTTTTATTGCAAGAAAAGATTCCCTGCTGCATAATCATCATCTCTTGAAGAATCTTATACAGAACTTTATACATCGTTGCACAGTTAGTAGATATAATAGCTCTGATCCAATACTTTTCGTGAAAAATCCTGTAAAAATGTCAAAGAGAAAAATTACTCTCCGAAGTGAGAGTAGAAAGTGAGTAACAACAAAAACTACGGGAACAAAAAAAGCATTTTTCCTGTACAAACGTCAACCAGTGATCGCTTGACTCTTTTCATGATTTTACCAGAAGAAAAAGTTCGGGCAAAATCTTGCAACTTCAATCTCTACGCAACTCTCCAAAAATCGCTCTCATTTACAGGATTTTGGAGGAATTTGGAGTACGGGATCATTTTTCCTGTAACTTTCTTTAAGTTCGTGTAAAAACCTGTAAGTTCATGGAGTACTGGATCAGGCTAATATGTTAAGCGCAATGGGGCATAATCGTAGTACTCAGCAGTGCTACCGTTTGCTGATTTTCGAGCGAAGTGAAAACTAAGGCATCCAATGCCGGCCCATTTTATGAATCCCGGGATTTCGGGATGTTCAAGCGGTAGCCCCGGGATCTCGGGATATTTCGGGATATTATTACCATTAATTAAAATATCCTAACAAACTAGTTTTGTAGTCTTTCTTTAGTGCGAATACTAGAAATAAAAATAAATTTGTGTTTATATCAGTTCAAAAAGCTAATTACAAACTGAATAAACTAAAAACTATGGAATTAAAATTCATATTACAGTCGCAGTCATTTTTACAAAGAGTAAAAAATACGAGATCATCTTTACACTCACATATAGTATTTATGCATATACATAATAGACTGCATCACTCCCCATACAAAAAACATCGGTACTGTTTTTCCATTGGAATTATAAAATCTATTATATTTTAAGACGTCCACCATAATATTTCGGAAAAATATTAAGATTTAAGCGAGCTGGACCGATTTGAAAATACCTCCAAAAGTGGAGTTTTTTATGAATAAAAATAGTTCCTTAAAGATGTTTTTTGAAAAAATCACCTCAAATGACAAAACGGTTTAAGCTTAAAAAATTTACATAAAAATATAAAAAAAAAATAGAACGGAATCGTAATAATGCGATTTTTGATGTTTTTTAACTTTTTTCAAAGATTGGTATAAGAAAAGCTTCAATAGCTGAACCTTAACTCTCCCGATTTAGACTTGTGAGGTATCATTGGAAAGGTATTTTCTTACCCTTTGTATTTCTTTGCTAATAAGGTTATTCAAAGGAAGAAAGAGAAAGGTAGGGTGAACGAACATCATTCAAAGTTGAATTAAGATGTGTTGGTATTTCAAAAAAAAAAAAAAAGGGGGACACGAATGACTTTTTTTTTGCACATAAATAAAAATAGTGCGAATATACCTTTCTACCGAGATCCCATAAGTCTACATCAGAATAGTTTTGGCCTAGTTCAATCAATCTTTGAAAAAAGTAAAAATACGTGTTAGCTTATTTAATGTATAGAACCCATAAAAAAATTTGAAGCGAATCGGAGAAATGCCATCATATTTTTTTTTACGAAATCCGTCCGACTTGTATATATACATATGTTGTGGTATACTAATATATATGTTGTGGTATACTAATATATAAGTTTTTAGTTTATTCAGTTTGTAATTAGCTTTTTGAACTGATATAAACACAAATTTATTTTTCTTTCTAGTATTCGCACTAAAGAAAGACTACAAAACTAGTTTGTTAGGATATTTTAATTAATGGTAATAATATCCCGAAATATCCCGAGATCCCGGGGTTACCACTTTAAGATCCCGAAATCCCGGAATTCATAAGATGGTCCGGCATTGGATGCCTTACTACGCACTGTGCTAAGTTAGCCTTATAAATTATCGTTGCTTTTTTCCCACTTTTTCATTTGCGAAGCCAACACAATCAAGCACAGCTATTCCGCTACGATTTACACTTGATCATGTGGTTGTTGGTTTTTGTTAATAATTCTATTTTTAGAATGTTTAACTTTTAGGTGTGCTCGTCCTTAAGATATTTGTTTTTGTTATTTTACGGCCAGTGCGTAGGCAACTGGCTGAGTCAGTGGGATCGTCGGTTCGAATCCTACTGAAAGAAGTCTGATGAGGAAATGTGGTGATTTCCGAAATAGCTATCACTTCTACCATTTTTTCAAATTATTGTTGCTTTTCCACAATAAATTTTCATTTAAAAAATGGCCTCGAGCTCATTATAAAATTGTTGAATATAATTGTTAAAAGGCC